CTCAGCCTACTCAAGCTCAACTGATGAGGGGTGAATTCCCCGAAACACCGTGTATTGAGCAGGAAGTGGTGCTTTCTTGCAGGTTTGCCGAGTGGAAGGTGCGACGTGCTCCTCGTGTGCTCCGGATGGCAGTCGTGAGTCAGTCAAGTGTCAAGTTCGGCAAGAAGCGTGTGTTCCTAGTTGGAACAATCAACTTAATTAATTTAAATGTCCAGGGATATACCACTACAGTCAAATTTAAAACTTTTCACGTGCAAGCGACATTGCTGCTGAAATTTAGAAAGTGAATCTTGGGATGTCAGCCTTGGTGGAAGGCAGTTCCACAGCTTTCCGATTTTATGCAGAAAGAGAGAGGAAGAGATGCGGCCATGAGAATTGAAAATCAGTTTGTTTGGTCGGCGTGCGCTAGAAGAGATATTGATGTCAAAGCGGGATAGATAATCTGGGTGCCAATGGATATACTTGAACAAAATGGTGATGGAAATGTAAGTGCGTCGGAAGTGAAGGGATTCCAAATTACACAGCCTATTTAAATTATTCTTCGATTCATAGCGATCAAAATCAATCTTCGCAGACCGCAGCAGGCATCTGCAGATCTTTGCTTGTAAAATGTATCCTCCACTAAGCTATGATCAGGACTGCAGCCATTCGGCGTCACCACAAATCCGCAGTACGATGGTCTGGGTGCCGCAAAGACGAATTTGCGGCGGTTCAGTGTTATTCGCTTCTCCGAGCTTGGAAAGCTGGCAAAGCTTGGGCACATTGCGGACCCTCTGGGTTTGCACCTCAAGCTCAGTGTCGTACACGATGACATCCTTGACCACTTTCTGAAGATTCGAAAACCTGGCGAACACTTCGTAAGTGCTCCGGTTGTGATCATCACCTGCCGACATACCAAGGCCCATGACAAACCCCTTGAAACGGTAGGCACCCCATGGCGACATGAACGTTGTGAGCTATACCGTCGAGGTATACCTGCCAGTAGCCATGTTAAGAGTCTAGGGTGATGAAGTAGTACTGTATCCCCACTGGGATCGACGCGACGACCTCCCGAGGTGCTCGGGTTGGGTATGCGGGCCTCTTGACCCATTTATTTAGACCCATCAGGTTCACCGTGATGCACGGCTCAATGGAATTCTTCTTGGGGACAACCACCAGTGGGTGGCACCAAGTGTATGCTTCGCCGACAGGCACCTTCGCAATGACGCCCTTGTCCACCATGTCGGACAGCTGTTTCTGCACAGCATCCCGCCGCTTTAATGGGATGAAGCGAGCGCGATACAGGCGGCATGGCAACGCGCCGGTGACTAGCTCGATGTGCATCGGCTCACCACTCATGGCCTTGAGCAGGGTATCCGAAAAAACCTTCTGGAAACTTTTCCAGCAAGGTCCGTCGAATTTCCTCAGCTGCCGTCGACGCAGCACCTACTGACGTGTCGGCGACTTCGGATGTTTTTTCGGAGGGAGGGGGATGTGAGCCACTCGCGTTGTGCCCTTAGACGGGAGTAGGGGCAATGATGTAGGCGATCATTTCGAATAGCGGACATGATGAGCTAGGAAAACAATCTTTCGAGCTCTCTCGTTGTTTTTTTGTTTACCCGTTTGACTAGCCTACATGCAGCATCACTACATGCACTCAGCAGGCAAAAGCGCCGTAGAAGTCGCGAGGGTATTGTGGATTTTCACGAAAAATCCCTTATTTTGCATCCTTTTCGTACTCAACCCTATGCTTAGCAAGATTATGCGCAGTTTTCTACAAAACCTGCGGGATTATCCTAGAGCTATGCTCGTTTTCAGAAAGCGCTAAATACTGTATAATAGGTAATCAGGTAATTTTTAGGTGTATTTAAGGTTCGGTACGAGCAGTCTGCCAGGTTTCAGGTGTGATGAAGAATTGGGGGATCCGCCTACCCCTCAAATACAGTGCACACTCTAGTGCCTCATAGGTTGTGTATAATTATTCCCGTAGCTATGCAGAAGACGTTACTTCAGTAACGTCTGGCGCTAGCCAGGGTCCACACAGCTTTAATTCCCGTAGCTATGCAGAAGACGGTACTTCAGTAACGTCTGGCGCTAGCCAGGGTCCACACAGCTTTAATTCCCGTAGCTATGCAGAAGCCGGTACTTCAGGAACGTCTGGCGCTAGCCAGGGTCCACACAGCTTTAATTTGGTGTTTGTGTGTTTGTGTCACGCCTGGAGCTACGGTATCTGTCCCGTATCCGGCCCATACCTGTGATTTTGGTGTTTGTTTGTTTGTGTGTATGTTTGTGTCACGCCTGGAACTAGGAAGAATTAGTATGTATGCGAAGTGTATCGGGGGATGCATGCAGGGCGCGCGATAGTGCGGGTTCGAATCCCAGGTTATGTCTTAAAAAGAAGGATTTTTAAAGAATTTATAACATCCCTATGCTTTTTTTGTCTAGGTCATCAAGGCAAAAAGCATAGCGTAGGGCCCTGAGCTTCCAAGCTCTCTTGTTTAGTTGCCTGAATCAGTTCTCTACCGAAATAACCAAATTTTAAATTACACCGAAAAACGTGATAATAATAATACAGTAATCTAGATACAGAACAGAACAACAAGGACAATCAAGGTTTGTTTGCTGCCACTTCAAGTTTCATGCTCTTGCAATCATCAAGCTACATGAAGATTGGGTGCCGACCATGCCAGTAAATATGCCAGGAGAAGGTGGCAGGAAAAGCTGTGAGAATGTGGAGGCTAGCGATGTTATCTAACTTATCTTAGGCAGGAGTATGCTAGATGTAACGCTAGAAGTATCCGCGGGGCCTACCCTACGCCTACGGACCGCACACCGAACAAGTTCGGGCATGTATATGTTTATGTGATGGGTGCCACTGAGAATTGAGGACACCTGTAAATTGAGGACACGTGACCTCAGCCTCTTGGGTATCCGTGCTTGTCAGGTTCGACGGTAGTTCATGAACCAAGCACGGACAAATTAGTCCCAGGGTGTGACCTTCGACCACAACTGCTGTTCCGCAACCATCTCCATCTGGCTGCAGTCAGAGCCAGCCAGCCCATTGGCTTCTTTAGAAAGCTGTGCCCAATACTCCACCGTAAGGGCGGCCTCAGCGTATAAAGGATTCATCCGCCCAACCATGGAATATGCTCAACTAGTCTGACAAGGCGCAGCCCAGTCCAAAAATGTTTTATCGCTCTTGTCCGCACACACTTTGCTATCACCCGTTATGAGCCCTCTGGATTCATTCCACGTAGAGTAGCGATGTCATAGCGCACTGTGTTAAATTACTACCACCCCGCATCATTCTATCTTATATTTTTATTAGATCCATAAATACAAATACGAATACAAACCTCGAGAAGCTTGACCACATCTAGCAGCGGTACGTATAATATTATGTGAAACATTTTCCATGGGACCATGCTCCCAAGCTTATCATTGCGTGGGTAGGTCTGGAGACTCTGCTACCCGTTCGAGCTGCACTACACTTCCAGTCCAACACATCTGACAGACATGCTGCCACCTGCTGTCCCTGGGCCTGCCTGCCCCAGAACCCGCCACCAAAATTAAGTGAAACACTCCCATGCCTTCCGGTTGTCAAACCCCCTCCCAGCAAAAAGTCCTGACATCCTACACCGATCCTTCCCGCTCGGCCTACTCACGCCATGGAATGCTCTACCCTCTGACATCATGAAGGTTCTCCCATCGTAGGAAGCGCTGCAGCGCTTCAAGGCAGTAGTGCGCAAGTACCTCCTTGATCAAACTTGTGGGACTGCTGTCGATGTGTACTCCACCGACAAGCATACTACTAGTAGTTGGTGGATATAACTCTTTCTTCTTCCTTTCTTTTGAACCCCCCCCCCCCCCCCTGGTGCGCGTATTGTGCATGGATACCGAGACCTTTGGTCGGACGAGTTTTTTTTCTTTTTTGTTTTTTTACTTTTATTCACAAACCCAACTCGTAAAATAAAATTATGTGGACAAAACCAAACTGCTACTGAGTAGGGGCTTCACTGGGCAGCAGTGATGGTGAGGTACCAGGGGCTCCACCGACCAAAGGTCTCGGCTTCAATGCCACATGCACGCACCTCTCACCTCCCAATGCCCCACCCTACAGCGGTGCTAGCGGATACTAGTGGTCAGTCCCGACTCAATAGTTGTTTGTTCTGTCAACCCTCAACTTCTGTGTTCTGGTCGTATATTAGGCCTTGACGGATTATGCTAATATTTTCGTTCAATTATGCTTTTCGCATTGCTGAAAAATGGCAGAATTATGCTATTTTTATGCTAAAAGTTATCATATTATGCCGCATTATGCTCACATATGCTGCTAATGTATATGATGCTTCTGTGCAAAATAACACGGGGATTTTTTTGTATAGGGCGTTGTACTGTAGTAGCAAAAGTTCAACGGGGTCAACGCGCCGTCCGACCTACAATTGTAGCTACGACCGTCACTGATTGTAGTGGACTGGACATGTTATCAAGGGAGTCGTAAACCTACGACTTCCTGGTGCATCTACTTGTACTTGTACTTGTAGAACATGTACAACTGTATGGAATTTGATGCGAACAGGCGGATTATTCCAATTTATGCGATTCGTATGCAATTTGCCTCGAATTATGCGATTATTCGATTTTGGTAGGAATTATGCGAAAAATTATGCTAGCATAATCCGTCAAGGCCTATCGTATATTCGTTCGCCCTGCCACTTTTTCATCTTTGTTACTGATTTTGCCTCGAGCCGGGTTGGAATTCTTTGTAAAAAAGAAAAAAATGCACGAACTGTTCAAGAGTTCATTGTATGCTTGTGATGAGATTTTTCATCTTCGGCAGTAAGCAAAGTCTGTTGGCAATGTGGTATTGCGGGATGATTCAGTGTTTGCTTCCGTCGGAACACCCATATTATCATATTTATTGCAAATTCTTAAACCTCGTGTGGACACATCCGCCAATGTGAAGAGATTTGTCGATATCCAACTACGGTCATAAGGAAAAGCAGGGAAGTAAATTTCTGCTCATATAATATTATTCACATAATAACTTGTAAGGTGTATGGGGTGTGTTCTACCGGAGAGGGTTCCCATTGCCTATCAGTTTGTAGTATAGAGCGTTTCTTGACAGATTTTTCGCAAACGCCGCGCGATTCAGAAGCAAGGCGATGACTTTGTGCGCGTAGAGATACTGGACGTCACCCTGTATCATAGAATTTCGCTGTGAGCGCATGTGGCGTATAATCCCATACAGATCAATACTGGTGGTCTGTGAGCTTAGGAGTTCCCTCACAACCGTATCGACTGCAATGAAAGTTCCCGTGCGGCCCACTCCGGCACTGCAGTGCACAACAACAGGTCTTGAACTGGTTGTGTCGAAACTGCCCTCCTGACTATGGTACCGAACGGCGAGTACAAATCGGAGCAGGAGGTAAGGATCGCTGGGAGCACCATAGTCGGCCCACTCAGTTAGTTGGTAGTGGTTTATGTCGCGGTATTTCGTCCCGGCCGACACGCGAATGCTGCGATACATGCCCCATGGGGTTTTCCTTTCAATAAGCATCCGCACTCGCAGTGGTCCCAGCTTGAGAGTATACTTCTCTTCAGGGAACAGTGGCCAGTAGCGGAACACTTTCGGAATGCCGTGCTCTATGTTCTCTCCCAGCATTACCACAACCGTCGTACCTTGTTCATACACCATCTGCCAGAAGTCCCGCACAGTGTTGCACAGCGGTCCCTGCGTGGCTATATAAGCGTTGTGCTGCTGCGGATGATGGATGTAGTTGGCGTTGATGTAATCACCTCCAGATCCAGCGCCGAGCCTCACGCGGGAATGGTCAAAAGCTAAGACGTTCTTGTAGCGATTTTTTTCCAGATTTTCAGCGCGAACGGACACCATCGCGGCGGGTGCGGGTGACGTCCTATTCACTTCTGCATGTTCTCTCTTTATCTTCGCTTCGTTTTGGGAAACAAATTTGGGAAAGTTGCTGATGGGAATACATCTGGGAGAAGGTCCGTATACGGGACCACCTAAATTTTGAATATATCTAATAGGCATGATCACAAAGTAGGAAAAGTTCGCAATGATAAAATCAATGATCTCCTTCAGAGATACCATTGTGCGAGTTACGTTACCGAACCTTCTTCTGTTATAGGTAGTCCATGCGGTGAAGGGCCTTTGGACATTTTTCTACACACAATAGATTTTATTACATACTGATATACGACAGGATGCATACGCTCAGAACCGCTTGTCATGTATTTATAATAATCTGTATTTCAGGATTACCAAAAGGCTGACGCCTACCGGGGGGGGGGGAATCTCCTGTTTGTGATGTGATTCAGGATAAACTCCTTTTCTGTTGTTTATTGGTTTCTACACGTGTTTGATCGTACAGTGGTCTTTTTCCCACTCTATTGATATAAGTTTGCAAGACGTGTAATCCTCCAAAGCTCATGGCGGCTCTTGTCCAACGTCTGCGTTAAGCTGCGCTGAATCACACGGACACGGGAGATGTTTTAGAAAGCTGCTTTGGCCCTGTGCAGGCTACCACGGTATGACATGTAAGGTGCCTTCTCAGGCATGATGGCAAGCCAGAAGATCCAGTCTACCCAGCAGCGTTTGCATGAGAGAACAGCTATCGCCTAGACACAGGTACTATTGCATTGTGACCGTCGCCAAAGGCAGGCTATCCGTTTTCTTGATACGCTCAACTGTCTGGCCATATACTGATTGTCACGGTTTTGTCTTCCTTTGTGACTATGAGTTTATGACCTCCTCTTCTTTCACGTTCACTCCTTTCGTACTATATTGTAATACACGTTACGATGTGCACTTTATTCAGACTGTTGTGTGTAGTGTTTGTCGTCGTATTGTCCCTCTCCGTATTGTCTCTCTCTCTCATCCATTACATGCATGCTCGTTGTAAATAACGCAGTCTTTGTCTTATCCCGCAATGCACTCTTGCACGGCTGCAGGCGAATACAACATGGTGGCAGCGGTGGGATTCGAGCACACGCCTCCGGAGAGACTGGAGACATATCCAGGTGTTAGATTACCATGGCCGGCTTTGTGCGTACAAGGGATTTGTGCGACCCATCCTCGAGTATGCTCCCCTTGTGTGGATGGGAGCTGCATCCAGCCACCTCGCCCGACTCGACCGTGTACAGAAACGTGCAATGGCCATTATTGGCCCTGGTGCCCTTCTCCAAAGCCTGTGCCACCGCCGGATTGTATCTGGGCTGGTATACCTGTACAAGCTCCAGTGCATCCCAGGACCACCCCAGCTCACCGCCATGATCCCCCCTCCAGCCAACCATGTAGAAGCTCGGCGCACCCGGAGTCAACCCCCTCCTGGCCAGCAGCACCATGTGCAGCTGCAGCAAGTCCTGGACAGGAGAGCACCTGACTATGCTTCTCGCTCCTTCCCGTTTTCTGTAGCCTCAGTATGGAATAGCTTGCCAAGCGAAATTTTAAGGGCTCCACTCAGCTTGAAGCGGCTCCACACGTTCAAAGTAGATGTC